GAGGGTGGGTTCTTACTTCATATTTTGCATGAACAAATTTTAATGTAACAACTCTTTACGAGCTTACCTTGCTCTGTGACATCTACTGCACAAGACAGGATTGACCTCAGCATCGGGATGATGACACGGATCATGACGCTCAGGACGGCCACTGCAGACGTAAAAAAGAAATAATTAACTCTTTAAACCCCATCGGACGCTGGGAGTGTCCGATGCTAGTGACAACTGTTTCGTGGGGGGGGTTTTTCGTGCTAGTTTTTGCTTGGTTTTCATAACTATTCCTGAACTTTTTTTGTGTGGTAATAACTAAGCCTTTGTTTCCGTCATTTAGAAGTTGGAGGCAAACTTTTGAGGTTATAAGGAGACATGGTGCACCCGGTTTAGGTGACTGTAGAAAAAAAAAACCCTCAGGGAAACGGTAAGAAAAAACTCAGGGTTTAAAGTGTTACAGACTATCGTAAATTTCAGTCAATCGCGTCTTGGATTTGTTCATTCTACCCATGCTCAGGATTTTTAAATGGTTAAAATCACTATCACGTCTAATACCTGTTGGACACAGAATGGTGAACAAGACCAGGTTATTTAACATGCACAAGGACCCATAGTACGTTTTCTGGCAACCAAAAACAAAAAACAAAAACCAAACAAGCAAACTCAATCAGTAATTTTGAAGCTTCTGATTTAACAATCTGTGTAATAATTGTTGGTTTTTTTAGAAGGGGCTGTTGTTGTTTTACTGTTGTTTTTTTACTGTCGTTTTGTTTCTTCGTTGTTGTTTTTAGTTAATAAACGTATATTTCAGAAGAAACCGGCATACATCGCAGCAAAGCTGTCAAATCTTTATAAACAATCCATGCTTTAAAAAGTATCTTTTAATTTCATTCGAACCTCGCTTGCAAACCAAACAAGTCACAAACTGTGCTTAAGGCACACCCTACATGGGTAGCCGTTTCACACAAGGATACGTTAACGAACAATTTTGCAACCATTGAGCTTGATGTTAGATTCAAAACTCTTTAAAGAAAGCCAATAACTGTATATGAGTGAGCCACCCGGCACTGATTTTGAACGGTATAATTATTGGTAGCTCAGGCTCCGAACGTTTTCCTCGCATCTTAGATTCTAATCATAGCATGACAACCCCAGCATCTCGGGAGATTCCCAGCAGACCTGTCTATGACATATCCAATATCGCCTTCAACCAGTTCCACAGATAGCTGCGGACCGAGCACACAACGCACTTTTAGTGATTTTTCAACAGGTCCCTGCTTTCGCTTTGATAAGATAACGTCACCGAGATCGTCTTGCTCAGTTGCTCAGCTCTTATTCTGTTGGAAGAGATATGGCTGTTCACAGATTATTATATATATGAACTGATTCAAAAACAACAACAAATGTTGTCCTCGGAGGTCAACAGAAACTACGTAAGCTAGGAGCCAATCGTGTCCAGAACTCCAGTACATCCCAAACCGAAAAATATTTTATTTTCAAAAAGTCTGTGTTGCCTAGAGAGCTATAAATGGAAAATAAAGCGGTGTGACGTGGGGCAGCAGCAGCAGCATGAGCAGAAGCAGGCAGTTGGAGAACCAATACTTTGCACAATACATTTTTATGTTAAGCCAAACCAAAGACAGGCAATAATTTCAGCTTCATGTATTTATCATGTCATGAAAAGAAAAGCTAATGCTAAATTGGTGCTTGGTTCAAAAAGGATTAAACGTTACCTTCGTAAACCATTCTATCGTTAATGGCTACTGAACTGAAGGCAGCAGACATTATGCTTGAGACGCAGCCAATTAGAACGATTTGTCTGTCGGCCATCTTGAAAACTTTCTGCAACACAGCGACGACAAGGAGGATGACGATCCAGTTGCAGGTGATCTGGGTTCCGCTGAGTGTAAGGAGCTCGGAGGCCGACCAGCACAGCGGCCACTTCATCAAGTAGAGCGTCTGTGTGAACGGAGGCGAGGATAGACCATCAATGATTTATTTATAGAGGCACCAGCCATCCATGAGGGAGGCGAGGATGTAAAACATGTCATGACTTCTGGATTACAGAGCTTTGGTGGTTCATTGCGTCTTGACTCACTCATAAATACACAAAACTGTTTCCCTTATTTTATTAGATATAGCTCCCCACCGCCGGAATTTGGACTCTCTGACAGACATCAGGCTAAACTGTATTACTATGTAGACCCATTATGCATCACTTTTTGCAAAATTTTAATGTCAGAAAAGAATTAATTAGGTATTTACTATAGATTATTGTCAATAGGTTTACTCGAAATGAAGAAAAGTCATACCATACTATTACACCTGCTACTCTCTTCCTCAACCCCTCGACACCCCCTCCCCTCTGCACACACACACACAAAACATACACACACAGAGAGAGAGAGAGAGAGAGAGAGAGAGAGAGA